AAGCATTAGACCTATGTAAGAAACAGGTACGTAAGAAGTACATAAATAATTTTGTTTAGGTTACATAACAGAGAGTGAACTACCTCATTATGTGGATAACAAGTTTTGGATGCCAGCAAAATGGTCTATGGGACTTATAATGTCCGCTAGGAAGCAAGGAAGGGTCAAAAGTGAGCAAGCAGTGCAACTTCTTTTTTCGGTAACTTTTGGTCCTTGAACCATTTTCACTTTCCCAAGTTGCCGTTTTCCAAGCGTAGCAGAATAAATGGGCTTTATCGTATTCAGAATCATTTTTTATCCCGTTCAGCTCAAATGACCGTACTTCAAACAGACAAATTTATATATAGTTCAAAAGAAGACAGCGTTTGCATTTTAGTACATCGTTAATCTGCGGACAAATCTCACATATCTTTTTTGGAACGACTGGGTCACAGTTCCAATACTCTACACACAGGTCATATTCCTAATTGTGCGTCTATATTTTCTGATTATGACTTTAGGAAGACAATTTTTGGATACAGAAAGACAAAAAAATACCTGGAAGGTAACTGTCTTTGTTAGTTCAATTACTTTCTTAAAGAAAAGCCAAGCTTGTTTAACAACTAGAGGCTTCGCGAATTTATTCGAGCAATTTGCGAGGAAACTGGCAACTAAACTTCAAATAATTAAGATTGATCCTTATGTTCCCTTAATATCGATGATACAGTTCACTTTTCTGATTGGATGGAGTAAAGTTGCGGAGGGTTTACTGAACCCATTTGGAGACGACGACGATGACTTTGAAATGAACTATATAATTGATAGAAATCTCCAGGTAAGCTCAAGGTCATTTAGAAACAACTTTGTTGCGATACACTAGGCATCCTCTGTAAAGCTAAATTACAGCTCCTTATAAGTATATGAAAAAACTTTCTCTAGCTAGAAAGGAAACCTTTTTGAGGTATTCTGGCAAAAAAACGCAGTATTTTAAGCACTCATTTGCCAGCGTTTCAAGGTCCACCATCTCTCAAAAAACTATATATAGTTTCAATCTATTGACTGATCAGCTATCCTTTAATTTTCAACCACTTACAGCAACGCGCCTTACAGCATTTCCAGTCTTAGCTTGTCAGATCTCTAGGTGCTTTTATTATCATTTACTCATACTGACTGTGAACCTTAATTAAAAAGTCCTATGGCTGTATTTCCTTAACTAGTAAATGCTCAGGGTAAAATAGAGAGTGCGGGAAAGGAGACAGCAGACTTCTAACTTCAAAATACGGTAAAGCATAAAACAAGTAAGATATTGTAATAGTACTGTAATGGTTTAAGCTATTATGAAATCGTTATTTTGTTTCGGACAGCCAAACATCTGCAGCCCAGCCTACTATTACAGCTATTACTTTGCAGTGCAACTCATACAGAATAAAAGAAACGATGCAGTTGGTTCTTACCATTCCTCAGAACTACAACACGTTTGCAGGTATTCTGAATGACACAGTAGAACTTCAAGTCCTGTTCCTCCAGCGGGTACTTCCTCCACGGTCTGTCATGTGGAACAGCGTCTTTTTCAGACACTATGGAAGCCTGGTTTTCTAAAGATGTGCTGTATTCTGGTTTATTAAAATCCCTACCTATCCTGCTTCGAAAAGATATAAGGTTTAACTTAAGTGGAACAGTTAGGCAGATAAAACAACAGCTAGTGAAGAGTCCTTCCAAGTGTTTTCTAATTAACAAATGCCGCATAGAGTTTTGCGCTTTATAAAACATCAAAAATTTTTGATGCCTTTTTGACAGATTTAACAATCACTAGGTGAGGTATTCTGCTAGGTCGATGATAACCTACCATTGAGATAGTAACTGCATGCACTTTGCAAAGGAGAAATCATCATAAGCTGTATGGTCTGCGTCTAAAAGCAGATAGGAACCGTCATTAAAACCTGTCATATTTCAAAAGTTAAAGTTCCCAAAATTCTTCCAGATTGACGGCCACAGGGCGCCAGTTGGCTAGCTGATTTACGGCGGAAAAGCTATGGGAGGAGGTAATGAAGGGGGCAGCGACAAAAGCAAGGGGATCGCAGCAGAGAGAAAGAACGTAACAGCGGCACCGCCGCTACCCTTCTTTCCTCTGTTGCTTTCCCCTATGTATATATGAGCAGTTCCACACCAAATCGGCCACCTTTGATACCACCCTCTCAGATTCTTTTCATTTTTTGCTGATTAGTAGAGTCTAAGCCAGCATAAATAGAGCCGCAAAGAAAACCTGGAAAAGTGAATCCCCTGCCATGTCATACCCCTTCAAAGTTGCAAAATTTGCCAGGTTGCCGCTTGACACGGCTGTCTTTGGAAGCTTGTAATTTGGCCTGTTTTTAACGTAATTTAACGCTTTTTAATCCTGCTTATTTCTTTTTAATGAATGTTGAATAATTTAACTGTAATAAAAATGCACAAAGATGCAATAAAAACAAAATTTCAAACAAAAAATAGAAAAAAAAAAAAACGTGTCTTCAAATTTTTCAAAAAAGATACATTTTGTGCAAACTTTT